TCCTAGGCCTCCCACGTGGCTCTGTGCCTTGTCCCGTATCAGCAAACACCAGCAGCACAGGCCTGAAAACATGCACTGATTGTACTAAGGAAGGAATTGGGGTGTCATTAAAATATATTTCCAAGCATGGATTAATACAGAAATCTCTCTCCAAGACTGCAGTACTGTGGCTGTGCTCTTACTGCAAGAAGTGGGATGGGCCGAAGGCAGATCTGACAGGGAACAGTAGGTGAGAACACAGGCAGGTTTAGGAGACAGTAAATGAGAATCCTCCTACTCTTACTGCTCTGCTGTCAAGCACAAAAATCTGCCCCAAATTCTCTAAGAACTCTTTGACAGTTGGTGGGAGTGGGGCAGGTGCCTCTGGCTGTGATTATGGGTAAATAGCAATGATTACAGAGGAACTGAAACCAAGGGCAGAACAGCTATTCTAGAGAAATACTCAACATTCAAACCAACATTCCCTCATTCAGGAACTCGTGGCTAAGGAAACATTGCTGTCAGAAATCCCCAGGAGAGGGTACATATGTATCCACAAGGGAAGGAAGGGACCAGAGCTGCACAAGGTGCTGCTACAGAATGATGCTGGTGGTTTCATGGGAGATAAACCTTAGGATTTATGGACACAGATGGTTTAAGTCACACAAAAACGATGTACTCTTGCCATGGTCTCCATGATGCAATTGCATTCAGGGCAATGATTTCGAGGGAAAAACATTTTAAAGGCTGCAATTTTTTTCTTACTGGGCTGTGTTGCCTCCTCATGCTGTGGAAGAGCAGCAGCAAGTAAGTCTTAGGGTCTAATGTTTTGTTTGTTTTTTTTAAACTTGATTTTGGAACAGCATTCTTGGAGATGAAGTCATTGGGATTTGGCCCCGAAATGCAGATAAAGCAGATGTCAACTGTGCATGTGTGACCCATGCTGGCCTGAATATAGTCACAGGAGATGACTTTGGCCTTGTGAAACTGTTTGACTTCCCATGCACAGAAAAATTTGTAAGTGGCTATTTTACTTTTGCCTAACCAGCTTCTTTTCCCCACACTCAAACTCCTTAGCACACGGTTTTACAGCATCCAAACCTCAGTCTGTCCCAGGGCAGCTCCTGGCTGTGCCGGTGGGAGTCAGTGGTGTGGCAGCAAGGCTGTCCCCAGGAGAGCATGGCTAGATGACACACACGAGGGTGATGAGTTGGGATTACTGTGGGCTCCAAAATGCTAACACTGCTTGGCTGTGGTTTGTCTTTTACTCCATGGTGCTGTGCTGGTTCCTGAGCTTCTGTTCCATGTCCCACAGGCCAAACACAAGAGGTACTTCGGGCACTCAGCGCATGTCACCAACATTCGCTTTTCTCATGATGACAAGTATGTCATAAGCACAGGAGGAGATGACTGCAGGTAACTGCTGCTTTATTTCTGAGCTGATCCAAGGCTTGGCTTCCTCCTGCTGCGAGCACAGGCAAAGCAGCACATAGCTACCAGGCCTTTGGGAGCCAAGAGGGAGCTGCAGGAGCTCCAGGGGCTGGCACAGGACCCACCTGTGTGTTTGGATAACATTCCAATCAAAGACAGCTGGTGGGGATGTCAGTCACACAGAAGTAAGGGGTAGGACAGGAATTCTGGCCCAACAGAAGGATAGACAGATTTAGAAAGGTATTTCAAGTAACAGGAGGCTTCTCAGAAGGTGCCTTAAGTTTGTTTTGGTTTTGTTCTTAAAAGAACCAAACAAAATCCAACAAAGGTAGGAGATAAAAGGGGCCAGATTCTCACAGGAGAAAAGATCAGGGAGCCCCATTTAAGAACCAGGTGTTTGTTTACTCAGAAGGAACAATACAGGCCAAACACTTATGCACTGAGTCATGTTTGCCAGTGGATGAAACTGCATCTTTCCCAGAAGCAGAAAACTAAACAGTGCCCTGGGCGAGGCACACACACACACACACACACACACACACACACACACACACACACACACAGAGTGCTTTACCTGGCACCTTCCTGTGGTACAACTACACTGTACCTAACACCCCTGTGTCCTGGGTAAGGTGTGGTGCCAACCTTCAGCAATGTACTCAACGAACCCCTGAGCTCTCACTCCCTGTCTCTGCAGTGTGTTCGTGTGGCGATGCCTTTGAGAGGAGCCTCTTGCTGCTGCTGCCACTGCCACACCAATGACTGTGCTGGCCTGGACAGCCA